TAAGGAAAAGAAGAAAGGGCAAGGACTTCGAGGAGTGCGAGCTGTCCAATTGACCAAAGAGTTTTGGCTCAAAGCGAAAGGAGCCCAAAGGAAATAACATGGCAGGCAAAAATAAATTCTTTAAGATTGAAGGCTGCTTGGAGTACCCTTTCAAATGAAGAAAATGTTAGGTTTTATTACCTTAAGAAGAAATGTAAATGAAAGTTTTCATTATTAACGAGATCAGATCTCATTATTAATAAGATCAGAAACTTGGAGTTCATGAACTCAAACCAAGAGGTTAAAGTCAGCCTCTCAAACTGCAATTGGAAACAGAACTAGTTCAGAACGATGTAGGTTATTAAATATGAGTTTGTATTCAAGTTTTTAGAAAATTTAGCACTCATTTTAAGCAGTTTAATAACCGCTTCGGAGAGCAGGATTAAGTATTATAGTAAGTTAGTACCATAACTTCCTACCTGATGCTGCTGACTTATCTTATTTGCGTCCAGATCCAGGTCTGAACTTTCCTGTCAGAGATGTTGGCTTACAGTGATCTGATTATGATCAAAGATACCTTAAAAGAAAAGGTAAGAAAAGCGAAAAATGTAGGGAAACTTTGAGCTGTAAAATAATAATGGAAAAGCTAAAATAAAGAGTTACTCTTAGCTATTTTGTACAAGTTTTGGTAAAAAGAATAATATCTTGGAAAGCACAAAAGGTTATAAAAAATATAAAAAAACTTAGTTGAGTGAGAAAACTAAATATGCAACTTTAAAGGAAAACAGATGTTTACATTTCTTCTACTTTCGTATTAAAAAGTCTTAGAAATTCTTAAGAAAAATATGGTCTTCGGCATCGATTGATGAAGATTGTGTTCCAAATGTTGTGGCAAACAAACGCAGAATAAGGTTGAAATTAAAGTTTAATTCATTCCCTCCATTCGCTGGAGAAATTCACAAGAGACCAGACATAAGCTAAATTAGAGATGGGACTTTTATAAACAGAGTCACATTGCAAGTTATCGGTATTTTAACATCGATTAATACAATCATATATATTTGATCTGAAAAAAATCTGACGTTTATATTTATAGAGCAGCCTGAAATGCCCGAAATGACTGTCAAGAAGGGTGCCCAGGAACACGAAGAATTCGCCGTCTGCGTAAATCATAAAGGGCAGAAAAGTATTCGCAGTCAAAGTGGCAAAGTTGAGGGCAGGAACCCTCATACCCTCAAGAGTTCGAAGTTCAAGTGGTGGGCGTATTGCGGCACGCTTTCTGGATGGGCGTGGCCCAATAGGCTTAGGCCCTGACGTTTGATCAAAGCCCTCGGAATTATGAAAGAAGCAACCGCAGCAGCGACTCGGAGAGGCATTGAAATTATTTATCGCCCCTCGCTGCCAATTGTCGAAGGGGGACCGTGTAGTTTACGATTCCGTACATTCAGTATACTCCGGGCCACGCCCCCACAGCCTCTGTTTTGGGGCGGAGTGGAAAGGAGTAGAGCCACCCATCTCATCAACGGCCAGCGAAATTGTTTGTCAGCCCCCCGCCGCTCTCCTCACGCGGCTTTTGTATCCAAATGCCGAGGCAAATAAATCAAAACTTGGTCGGTGGGCGGCAATTGGGTTGTTTTTCGGGGGCCGCATTATGTTATGGCCCCGAATGTCTGCTGTCTTTAATGGCCATGCTGCGGAGATGGGCGAAATACTTGCAACCGAGGCAAATTGATGAAGCACCAACTATGAGCTGGCCATGAAAACTATGGAAATCAGAAAGGAATCTTTCAGGCCAAGTTAAAGTTATCGCTAAAGTTTAGCACATACAGATCTGAGAGACCTTAACAGAAATATGGGAGAAATATTTAAGAAGCTTAAGCTTAAGAAGCTGCTTAAGTTGAACATTTAAAGAAGATTAAAGTTTTTTGAAGAAATCGGAGAAATATAATTAGTTTTCTAAATGTTTAAGTTGTCTAAAAAGAAAGTAGAAACCCAAAAGCTTTTTATATAGATTTTAGTATATTACCTAATTACTCCCTGTTTTTCATATCGTTTGGCTTAATGAACAGCTGTTTAAGCTAACAAATTTGAAGGCTTTAAACCATATGCTTTACATTTTTATGATTCATACAAACTAGACTTTGATTCCTAGCGAAATTCCATCAGCAAATTTAATAATTAACCCATCGAATTGAAGTAAATTGCCTTTTCCATCTGCTCATTTGTAGAAATTTCCTAAACATTACTCAGGTGATGGCAACTGTTTTTTAAGAGCCATCAAACATCACTTTCCCTGAACCCTGCCAAGCTTGGGCCTTCATTTCCAGCTACCACAAACTGTCGCGCTTTGTTTTGTTGGTCAGCAAAGCCGCTTAAACAGCATTTAAGACTGGAGGGAATAGGGCCAATTTCCCATTCTCCCTCAATGCCCAATCCCCCGTCCACCGATGTTCCCTGTTAGTTAGTTAATTTTGCTTTAAGCTCATGTACGGTCAATGTTTGGCCAACACCTTGTAATATCCGTTTAAGCTGCCCGCCGCCGTCTGACTGACAGTTGGACATTTTCACCAGGACAGGGCCAATTTAGCTACAGTTCATTTGAGTTTGAGGGGGTGGTGCAAATGGGGGCGGAGTGTGGAAAACAGGAAAGCAGCAGGGGGACCAGGAGGAGCGGCAGCAGCAGCAGTCAGTGCTCTAAACATGACTTATGACCAGTACGTGATGCAACATAAAAATGCCATTACATTGTGCGTGTTTCGTTGCTGCTCTGTTGAGTTGCCCCTCGCTTCCTCGTTTCCCCCAGCTTTTTCCCAAGTCCCTCCCCCTATCTTTTTTCTATGTATATCTCTATCTCCCTCCCGCCTTCACTCAGTCTCTCGTCTCAGTCTCGTCCAACATGACGTATGAGTGTTGCACGTTTGCCTCGCTATTTCTGGCGACTGCCACTGACAGGAGGAGAAGCTGCCCCTCTCATCGGCAGGCTCCCCTTAACAATTTCTCATCTGCCGTTCACCTTAGTTGCTTAGCCCCGCTACCCCTCTCGCAACTACGCCCCTGGATGCCACGCATTGTTTGCTTTATTAGTGAAATTTAATGTGAAGTCTATTGGCAAAAGGAAGAACAGTGGCAGCAATCGAAACAATAGAGCAGGGATGTGAAAAAACTAAATACACTGCAAAAGCGAGTTAACTCATAAGTTTATTCGTTTTGTTATATATAGAAAGTTCTCTAAGAGGTATGAAAAAGTGTATAAACTGAAAAGATGTACAATGATGTACATTTCTATCTGTAGCTGAGAGGTATTTGTCTCAGTGCAAGGACAGATAGATGGGCAATCCAAGCGTCCCCCGTCGGAAAGGCAAAGAGCAAAGAACCCTCATATCATTCGGCATTTCATTAAAAAAGTTCGTTTTTCTAGCGTTTTCGATTCGGCAAACTTCGAAGCATCGATAGGTGCAAATTACACAACAATCGGTGGAAAAAGACCATAGAGTTGTGGGAAAATGGTGGAAAAAAGGATGGGTCCACTAGAAGAACGAAAAGTTTGTTTTGTTTTTCTACAGGGAAAGGGGAATGGAGAGGAAAAAGGGAAAAATCTGGGGAAAAAATAGGAAGAACCAACTTGTTGTTTTTGCTGTTGCTGATTTTGTTCAGAAAAACGTTAGTTAGTTTTTGTTGTCTAGACCTTAAAGAGGGTTGCTACTAAAGTTTGGGATATGTAAGTGTTAATTTTTGAAAGTTTATTTAAGATTTAAGAAATAACTGTAAAAAATAATGCATTTTGTATTAAGAAAACTGACAAAAAATTTTAGTTAACCAAAGATTTAAGATTTACGATTTTTCGAAACCTATTAAACTACCCTCGGTGTGTTGGTTACCTGCTAAAAACTTTGACGTTGCGGCAGAGTCAACGCTTAATGAGTTGCAATTGCTTGTTTAGAGTGGCCCGCCCCCTTTTCCCGGGGAAGTCCCCTTTCCCGCATTTGGGTAAACTTTGCCTACGCAAAAGTTAGTTAAGTGCCTAAAGACACACACACACACACACACACACACGAGCACATGGACAAGCACACAATTACACACACACACACAAACAAACGATGAGAGGGGGTTACGCAGCATTTAGAATTTGGTTTATGCAGCTAATTTGTTGCTGCCGCAACTAAATAGCCAATAAATCATGCAGTCAATCAATCAATCAGTGCCGTAGCAATGTCTGCCATTCAAATGCAGATTCAGTTACAGATAGGCAGATATACAGATGGAGATACAGATACGGATACAGATACAGATACGAAGATATACAGAGATAGATTTAGATAGGTGGATTTAGGTACACACAGAAAAGTTTTAAGAAAATATGACAACGATATAACGTATGATTTGATATGAAATATTCAGTTAACATTTTTAATATAATTATCATTTGGCATTTTGTTTAATTTAAGCTTATTTTGTTCATCATCTTAAATCATCATCCTAAAGTTTCATTCATCGTAATGGCATATAATTTTTCTAAGTGCACATTGCAGCCGTGCGGAGTGCGGAACACAGGATTTCAGGAATCCACGGAGTCCTTTTTTAAATGCCTGTCAATGGCGTTTGACGACATAATGGAAGAGGGGTACAAATAGCAAAATGGCAAAATAGCGGTGGCAAGTGGATGGCAAATTGTGGGCCAGTTTGCGAAAACAGGCCTGCATTGTTGGCCCCGCTGCCTTTCGGTATGCCAATGTCGCCCCAAAGCGTCAATTGCAGAGTGACAAGAAAGGGTCAATTGAGTGGTGAGGGTCGATGTCGAATGTCGCTGAATTGTTGCAAGGACTGAAGACGCTAAATGGCAGCTAATTGCTCTCTTGTCAATGCAACAACCATCAACAGTAAGACTGGCCGAAACTGAAAAAGAAAGAGATAGCACATGGGCTAAGAAAGAGCTTAAAAGATTTGATCCTAAAAGTAGGCAACAAAAATCTGAAGTATTTGCAAGGAAATGTAAAATCAGAATGGAAAATTGTATTTGATTGACAAGCTTTTAGTGTTTATTATTTATTTGTTTTTAAATAATTTAGTAACTACATAGATGATTCCTTAAATCGTAAGTCATAAATCCATGTAATATATGCCATGCATCTTAGTAAGTAATTGTTTTAAACAAAGGACTGGAATATTACAAAATTCTAGGAACGAAATTCACCAAAAAAAAGGACATGTTCTTGCAGGATTGAAGCTCTTCCCCTTGCACTCCGGTTAGCATGTGATAACTAAAAAGATCCTCCGTCGACGGCAGACCATCCACTGAGTTTATTTTGAAAGGCAGGCTTCTGGTCTTGACCACCCCAATTATGTTTGAAGGTAGCTTTGGGTTTAAGTCAGCGTCTCCTCGAGGCAGTACAACATCACGTCAGCCAATTTGTTAAGTAGTGGCTTTACGTTCACTGAGAGTAATTTTTAAATATATTATTATTTCTTTGAATTACTGTAGTTAGCTTACCAAGACAAAGGAGTTTGGGAATGGTTTAGTCGCGGTTACTTATTTCTTTTTCATTATCGTCTAGGTCTGAAAGTGTTCGATAAAAAACAATATTCTAGCTTGTTAGCTGCAGGATTATGTTTTTAATAGTACCCACCTAGGCGAAAGTAATCCGCCAGTAAACCCGAGTCACTTAGAAGAAACAAAAAGCTAGGAAGGGTATATTTATAATAGCCAATAAGCCATCCTCAAGCATAGTTGATCTTCACGGAATACTGTTAGTATCTCTAAGAGTCCTCCGTGAAAACCAACTATGCTTGAAGGTGGAAATTGCTATTATTCATATAACCTTCCTAGTTTGATTTATTTTTCCTCAGGTTAAATTTTCACGTCGGGCGTATGGGTTTCTCCCTTCGATCTTCCACTTTGGCCTACCAAGACAAAGGAGTTGGAGAATAGGTGCCTGTCTGGTCGCGGTTATTTATTTATCTTCTATTCTCTTCTAGGCCTGAAAGCAACCTGTTAAAAAAAAAACAATATTCTACCTTGTTAAGTGTAGGATTTATATTTTTTAATAGAACCAACCTGGACGAAAGTAATCCCGCGGGGAGGAGGACTTACAGCAGACATCGAGGACCCATCTCTATCTGATTCAGAAGCGTATAAAGAGTATATAAAGCATTTGGACAAGGAGACTGAGATCGTTGCAATCGAGAAAAAAGCTATACAAAAAAAAACTAGGAGTAGAATATGAAGCATAGTCAATAAGCCATCTTCAAGCATAGTTGATCTTCACGGAATACGTTTAGCAACTCTAAAAGTCCTCCGTGAAAACCAACTATGCTTGATGGTGGAAATTGTTATTATTCATAAAATTCTCCTAGTTTGATTTATTTTTTCCTCAATAGCCCCCATCTCCAGCTCCTTGGCAAATGGCTTCATATACTCCTCGCACGCTTCTGAATCGGGGTTAGGTTGAGGTTAGGGTTTCTTCGTTCGACGTTCCGCTTCGACTGTAGAAATGTAAGTGAACGAAAATCACTTTAAATTGTCACATGTCAGGTTGCAAGTCATTTGTCAGGGTTCCCTAGATCCCCCCATAGAGTTGCCACCTTATTTATGGGAAAATAAAATAAATACTAGCCTCATGGTTGCGTTATAAATATTCTTAGTATAAAAAAAATTTTATTTTTTTCAAAATATTTAACAAGTACATTTTAATTACATTTATTTCATTAAAGTGTTTTGCGAATTTTTAAGTTTTAATTGCCTTTTTTGCACTTGTTATTAAAAAGCTTTGGATTAATTAATTATATTTTTTGCCATCTTTTGGGGATTGTTAGGGGCACGCCCGATGTTATAGCAAGCAGCTTCAGTACGGTGATACAAGTTTCGGATTCCTATCGGATAGACATAAAAACATACCATCGCCAGAAAGAGCACATGGTTTTTTAAGTTTTACATTAAAGAAGACGAAGGAAAAAGTTTTTACCAGATATTCCACACATAAAAAGGCGCTAAAGGTGAGTAGTTTCCATGGTATCTTATATTAAATGAAACCTGATGCCAACTTTAAGGCGAATGTTCATTCTGTAGCTGGGAAACTAACGACTTAGTTTGTCTGAGATTCTCTACCATAAATACAAAATGATAGGCCAATTTGGACAGAGCAGCCGCCTAAACAGCTGTTCTGTTGACCATTTACCAATCCAAAGGCATCCGGCTGGGTAGATATGTATGTACATAGACACTGAACACCGAATGCCCACACATCAGACGGCTCGTTAGACTTTTGGCCTGCGGTCTGGGCCATCAATGCGTCCGTAAAATTACACCCAATTAAAATAATTCCGCAACTAAGCAATGCAAATTGTATCAAATTACCAATTAATGTGCCACCCCTTTCGGGCCAGGCCAATCTTATGGCCTCGTCCAGGCGCCAAAATGTGACAAATTAAATGCCAAAACATCAAAAGGCAAACACACAGCATGTATGGTGTGTTCAGTGTGCTTTTGTCTGCCTGATTTATAAGCCTTATTATTAGGGCCAACACGGAGAGCAGTCTGCAGTCGGTAGACGCCAGTCTGAAGGCTAATTTAAGTGATTCAAAGTGCCTTTATGTATTGATAGAAACACTGCCGAGTGCCTGGATACATAAGACTGAGTTCACATGCCTATTTGCCCAATACGTTGGCCCATCTGTTTGCATTCGAGTGACTTTCTAGGTATAGATGGTGGTAAAAGGGGGGCTAAATGAGTTAAGAAAAGGCCAGAAGACATCCGAAATCTAAATCGAAATCCTTTAAGAAAGTCCTTGAGGTATTTCCGAAGTAAAAGCCGAAGTAATTGTCAAAATTATTGGGAATAAATTATCCCTCAATTTGGAATGTAACCCAATTCTAAAACAAGGCGATACGTATTAATGTACACAATTATTTTCCAATTTCAAGCTTAAATTGAATTTGGATAACATATTGCCATAAATATATCAAATATTTAGCACGTGGATTGAAATATTTTTCCAACTAAATTATGAAAAATATTTGTATTTACTTTTTCTTATTGAAATTTTCTTAACTTTTCAACTTAGTTTTGTTTTCTTAATTTGCTAAAATAAATCAGTGCCTGCTAAAGGCCTAGCAATTTGCACCCAGATTACCCTGCTTTATGTACACTGTTCTTGTATTATTATTTATTATATATAAATATTTTTGTTGGCTAGTAAAAATGGGCAAAGAGAACTCTTTTCTGTTGCCCGTTTTTATGGTTTGTTTGCCTGTCTTTCTGTTGATTTTTCAAATTTCCAAAACTTACCAAAGGTTGCTTTGGCAGGTATTAAAATTTACTCACTTGCTAAATATTTTGTTAAGAGCTGTCCAACCTTGTTCCTATATGTATACATATGCATGTGTGTGTGTGTGTGTATGCTTGCACTCTTCTCTCTGTGTGTGTGTGATTGTGGTGTTTGTTTGTTTGCGTTTGTTTGGGTGTTTTGCGTGTGTCGCGTGTGAAATGCTTGGCAAACAACTACTAAACTAACAATAAGGACCTGCAGTAATTTCTGGCGACGCCTTTTTCACATACCCTGTAAATTGTTGAGGTGTTAAAAAGGGGATAGTTTTGGTTTTATGAGTAGTTTGAAGTTCTGAGGTTAGTAGACCACAAGATAGTGACAAATAATAAGATAAGAAATAGATTAATATAGAGAAATATTTCTAACTTTTACCGATTAATTTCCACAACTTTACTGATTAACTTTTTGTTGAATTAATAATTCAATAATTTTGTTGAATATTTTTTAAAGATTTTTCTTATATTTAAGACCTTAAATTGTAAATAATGGTCATAGGGTATTTGTTGATCCTTGCGCTTGCCCCCTTTTTTCCTTGGCACTCGTCTGCAAATTGCTTTGTTGCCTCTGATGCTGTCCTTTAACTGCACTTGTGTGCGTTTGGTTGTATGCATGCGTGTACGAGGTGTGTTCAAAAAGTAAGGTGACTCTTCAAATTTCGCGAATTTCAAATTTTTCGATTATCGAAACCTTTTAGAAGTTATACGAGGTGTGTTCAAAAAGTAAGGTGACTTTTCAAATTTCAAATTTTTCAAATTTTTCGATTATCTTCAGTTTTGGGAACAAGAAAAAGTCACATGGGGCCAAATCCGGTGAATATGGTGGCTGAGGCATTATTGTGGTGTTGTTTTTGGCCAAAAAATCCAAATCCTTTGATCCATATTTTTCGATAGCAAAAAATCGCCGAGCTCGCAAAACAACTTGTAACTTTACGCCTCTCACAACCAAACAAAAGAGGATGTTCCATTGAAACTTGGTACAGATGTTAGGGAAGAGTGTACCAATATAACAAAACAAAAAAATCGATAATCGAAAAATTTGAAATTCGCGAAATTTGAAGAGTCACCTTACTTTTTGAACACACCTCGTATGTGCGCTGGTGTATGTGTGTAAGGAAAATCCTTGCGTTAGCAGTAATCAGCACGTAGCGTTTAGTTCATTGTATGTGCGTGCTCATTCGCGTGCCGCTGTATGAGTAATAGTGTGTGTGTGTGTGTGTGTATGTATAGGTGTTGCCCGCCTTTGTGCACAGGTGTTGGTGTGAGTTTGTTTAAACAAAACCCCAAAGCACAAGTTGCCTTCCACTTCGGTGTGATGTTTTTTTTTTTTTTATTTTTGCAACCGCTGATACTTCTCCTTCCCTTTTTTAGCTTGTAATTTTCGCCACCCCCCCCTTTTCACCGTTTTCCCCCCGCATTTTCTCCGTTTTTACCAGGATTTTTTGGCCTCGGGCAGGTCGAGAGCTACTTTTACATAAACACCAACTAGCGTCCAAATAACTTTTAAATGACGTTTGTTTGGGGCGTGTGTGTGTGTGTGTTTGTGCGCCCGCCAAGGGGCGTGGCTTTCGCCTTTGCGTGTGAACTTTGCGGTTGTTCGCCTTCCTTTAACCCCTCGCTGACCCCCGCCAGCTTTCTTCTTCATTCGCACTTTATTTTAAACTTTATTTATGCGATAGAAAGCTGCAAATTTTTGTTTGCGTTTTTAGCGCTGCGACCCGCGAGTGAATTTATTTGCCAAAAACCCCTCCCTTGGCTTATATAAGGAGGAGCAGTGGCAGGGGGCGTGGTTCGTGTGGGCGCCTCGCATTGTTAACTTTATACCATTGTAATCTATTTTTAAGCATGTTATGTGTGCTTGTGCGCCAGAGTTTGTTTGTTATTTTGTGCAAATTATGCGAGCTTAGCGCGTGAGCTGCTTTACTCGTTGTTGTTAATTTTTATTTGTACATGTAGTTGTATCCGCATTCGTATTTGTATTTGTGCGCCCGACAAGCGGATTTGTCGCTAAGCTGCCACCAATCCCCGAAATCCCCTTTTCGAATTCCCCACCCTACGTGCAAAATACTCTTTATGATGTAAGCGATCGTAATTTTTGGCTGCTACTTGGTCGGTTGCTCCTTCAAAAATATTTCAATATTTTCGCAAGCTTTAAAAAAGTATAAGACCAAGAGGGGGGGAGGAGTAGAAGGAAATGGGGGGCGGGGTGGGAGGCTGCAGAAGAAGCTGAAGCTGAGACAAACTTCAATCAAGCACATAACGGGCAACGTGAAACGTGCGCATAAAAACAAATGCCAGCCGAAAAGTATGCAACACTCTCCTGCGTCAGCGTAAAAAACGAATGGGTGGCAGGATAAAGGACCTCCGGCAATTCAGACAATCCAGCGAAGGGAGCAGTGGCAATAACAGCTAAACCCACACCAAATGGCCAGCCATTGTATACCCTTTGAATAAATACATTCATTTCAAGGCAATTCAATTAAACTTGCGAGGATTTTGCCGGCTATAAATATGAAAAGGTAATGAATATTGCATGGAGGTCATTTACATATTTGGGCTTGAGGTTTTCTTTTCTCTAATATATGGTTAGTAAGGCTTATTTTTTTTTCAAATAAATTTTAAACCCTTTCCATAACTTGTAAAGCTTCCTCAAAGAGTATAAAAACTGATTTAACGTAATTCGTTGTTTTAGTTTTGTCTCCGAGTGCATGCCAGTCTGCATGTGTGTGTGTGTGTGTGTGTGTGTGTGTGTGTAAGGTGAATGGGTGAACATGGCGGAACAGAACAGAATGAAATGAGAAGAGTGATAAAGGCGGAGGAGGGGTACCGAGGAACTAGAGCGGAGTCAAGTATCAAGGCATCAGGCGTGGCAAATCGCGACACAGCGGCGGAATTTGACAACAGGCGAATAAAATGAGGGAAAACAGTTCGATTTTAATAAGAAAACTTGTAAGAAAAACAGAAGAGTAAATGGTAGTACGTAAACTATTAGGAATCCAAAAGTGAAAGAGAATTTAACTTCATACTTCATCCTTACTTTATTAAGTGACATCAAACCATTTCTGATTTCTGTGAACACATCTCATAAATTAACGTTTAAAATCTGACAAAAAGGAAGTTTCAAGTATAAATATATATATATAGTTATTTCCCATATAAGCAGCAAAGTTTTGTCGCCTGAACTTTTGGCATATTGTGATTACTGTCCCGCTACGTTGTCTTTCATGACTTCTCTTTACGTATGTGTGTGTGTGTGTGACAGTGTCGTTGGTGCTAACGGTAAAGGGAGGTGGGAACTGCTGCGACTGGTGACTGCTGAATTGGTGACCCCGACACTACTTGTCCTCCAAGCCGCCGCCACTCCAGCAATTCAACAAACGCCAGCGACATGGCAACATGGCGACAACAACAATTACACTGGGAAAAAGTGAGATGTTGTGGGAAATTAAATTTTAGATAAAAGAAGTTATGATCAGATTGATATTAACTTTGATCTGTAATAGAAATCAAATTATTGTTCAACTAAAAGTTTACCTCATGAAAAACTTAAAAGAAGAAACATTTTCTTGCCGTGTTTATAACGGCAACTGTAAAAAAAAAGAACAGAAACAACCCGCGCGGGGAAAACTACAGCAACATGCTCACGTCGCTGACGACGTGTCTCAAGTGTGTCCCCCCTAGTGAGTGCCTCTCTTTCCCGCTCTCGCCCCCTCTCTTTCTGGCCACATATGGCCCTCCCTTGCCGCCCAATAGCCCTGTCCCTGTCCCATTCGACTCGACAGTAGTGTTTGTCTGTTGTAATTCACGAAATTGCCAGCAATCGATATAAACATCAACTCTCAATGCGTTCTGTCGCCGTCGCCGTAGCCATCGCCCCCTCTCTTTCTTTATACCGCTCGCTGTCTCTTTCTGCGCTGCATTGTTGTTGCTGTCGGCTTCTGCCAATGATCCTGTTGACGTTTTGTTTTTGTTTCTGTTGCGCCAGGGAGCTAGTCAAGTATCGAGTATCGAGTACTCGAAAGGAAAACAAAAATTGTTTGCCTGGCTTGTTTTTATTTTCATTTTAGTGCTGGCGAAACTGACATTGATGATGATTATTGGGAGTAAATAGAATTGAAAATGCCACCAGTATCCTTTGCTCTCCTTGCCTCCGTTTTCGAGGCCCAGGACACGTGTGAGTATCAACATCTATCCTGCCGGCTATATAGACCATCCCCACATCCCTCTATCCCGGCTCTCATCCTCCTCTTTCTACCCATAATGCGCGGAAATAAATTGCAAAATCAATTGAGCGGTAAAATAGTTTCCCTTCGTCGAAGATAACAACAACAAATCGAAAGTCAATGCTGCTGCCACACCCACACCGCCTCCGAAAGACGGAAAATTGAAGTCGGGGGAAAATGGGAAAATAGGAAAACAGGAGTTGAACTCTACTTACCACTGACATGGTAACGAACAGAACTCTGAACTCGCTTTATTTCAAGCCTGGAAATCGAGGAGAAAGGGGGGCGTGGCACTGCGAAAGTTGGAGGAGCAAAGGCTTATTCGTTATAAGGTTTGGCTTTAAGGAGTCTTAGCAATATTCATACTTATCCATGATAATATCAGATGAAGAGATACGAGGTGTGTTCAAAAAGTAAGGTGACTCTTCAAATTTCGCGAATTTCAAATTTTTCGATTATCGATTTTTTTGTTTTGTTATATTGGTACACTCTTCCCTAACATCTGTACCAAGTTTCAATGGAACATCCTCTTTTGTTTGGTTGTGAGAGGCGTAAAGTTACAAGTTGTTTTGCGAGCTCGGCGATTTTTTGCTATCGAAAAATATGGATCAAAGGATTTGGATTTTTTGGCCAAAAACAACACCACAATAATGCCTCAGCCACCATATTCACCGGATTTGGCCCCATGTGACTTTTTCTTGTTCCCAAAACTGAAGATAATCGAAAAATTTGAAAAATTTGAAATTTGAAAAGTCACCTTACTTTTTGAACACACCTCGTATAACTTCTAAAAGGTTTCGAAAATCGAAAAATTTGAAATTCGCGAAATTTGAAGAGTCACCTTACTTTTTGAACACACCTCGTATATGCCTGAAACTACAGCAGCTTTATAGTTTAAACTATAACTTAACTTATCATATATATAATTTTATTAGGACTTTCAAAAATGAACATGTTCTACTGTTAGCTAATGGCAATTTCTAGCCAAGTCTGCTGCATATATTTAATCTAATTAAAATCCAGCGAAATACCCCGTAATTATCCCCACTTGTCGGCGACTTGTTGCATACTTTAAGGAGCCTTTAAGCTGTCGCCTCGCTGAGAGTTGGTCGCATTACGCATTACGCATACGCCGCATTGTGCTGCGGCGATGGCTGTGGATTCATTAAATGTTATAAACTCATTACGCGTTTTGTCTGCCCGAATGGTTATTGGAGGGGGTTGGTGCTGAGGGGGTAGGGGGGCTATATCAGGAGGGTGTTGAACGAGTGTTGTTGGTTTGCTGTAATAACCACAAAACATCTGCGAGGGCCACACACACTCTCACACAGTTGCAAATGAAAATCTTTGTGCAGAATTAATTAAGTAAACAATACGAAAATTGTGGAAATTGCTTTGAATGCGTCCCCAAACACTCACACATAAGCCCCGCCGCACATACACACACACACAGTCGTATATGTATGCAAAAGTTATTGCCAGCAGCTGTTGTTGTTGCTCTTGTTGTTACACATTATTATTATGATGCTGCTTAATAGGCAACGCAACTGTGGGCCAAGGGGCGTAGAGTGGGCCGTTGTAGCCCCTTTGGACCCCCTCATAGCAAGCCCGGCCATTGTCTGCGGCAACAATTAAGCCGCACTCTGCCTTAATGATAGAGACACATGAAGAAAATGGCCAAAACAAAGGAGGCCAAACTCCAAAGTGCATGAAAGGAAATTCAAAGAAAATGGCTAGGAAAAACCAGCGAAGGCGGCAAGGATTCTGTGGGCGGATAAAAACTTTTGATCATTCATGAATATTAAATCGGAATAAGCGATTCTCCCACTTTGCCAAAAATCAAATGAATTTCATTGGAACAAACGAACTGAATTTGATTTGAATTTTCTTAGGAAATGCTGTATTTTTAATTTTTAATTTTCTTTTAGGTTAATATAAAACAAGCAACTTGGACTAAGTTAATCATTTTTTACAAAACAAAGGAAAAAACTACAAAAAGGAAATTCAAACTCAAACAAGCAAGCCATGAAGAAAATGTTTCTAATGGACTATATTTGTATTCGTTAAAACATTCATTCTGTGCTTATTTCTCAACAAGTCCAAACGTCATTTTAATTTGCTAGAAAATCAAATTGAACAAAATTTTGTGCTCATTTTTCAATGTTATTAAAATTATGGTAAGTTTCCGTGAATTTATATTAATGCTAATTGCTAGAGTAACCATTAACTATCTAATCTTTGTCATCTTCTTTTTGATTTTCTTTTAGGTTAACATAAAACAAGCAACATGGACTAAGTTGATGCGTTTTTACATATAAAAAGGGAATCTACAACAATAAAAACCAACCTAAAACCAGCAAGCCATGAACAAAATGTTTCTAATGTCGTCCATTAAATGAAAGTTTCATTCTGGGCTTATTTCTGAACAAGACCAGATGTCATTTTTAATTACCTAGAAAGTCAAACTGAACAAAATTTTTTGTTACAGAACAAATTTTAAACTTCATTCAATTTATTTTAGAATGTGGTAAGTTTCCGAGGAGGAGTTTGCTTTGCGAGGCTTACCATTGCCTTTCTAATTTTTGTTATATTCCTAGCAGCTTTGAATTTTACTCGCCATTCGGAGAACTCGAGTGACTTTCAACCTTTGAAGACAATCTTTATGACCTTGGACTTTTTAAACTGGATGCATGATCATCAAAGCCAAAGTTTTTATATATATTTGATGTCCACAGTTGCCTTGCAGCTTTGAATCTGATAAACTGGCCAGGGTTTTAGATGAGGTGTCTCTGCTTAGTCTTGAGGCACCTCAAGTTCCTCCCAGCCAAATAAAGTTGGATTTGGATTTGTCCAACTGCTCGAAGGTGGCCAAGTCAATATACCGGAAGACCGAGCACATTCATTCCCAGCCCTGTTGTATGTGTTCTGAATGACATTTGTCCACTAAAAGGCAAAGATCAGAATGGTGAAATAACTATTGGCCTGGCCGATATTCTGTTGACAGCCATTAACTCGATTAATATCTGATTTAGGATGATTTGCTTCTTGTCTTTGGTATTCCTTCGGCGCTTATATAGGCTATTATATAACCGCCCTGAGAATACTGAAGCCAAGAAACAAACCATCTTGAAGCAGATACACATCGAGTTGATTGGCTGACCGTCAAGGGTTTAAGTCATGATGGCTTAAAGAGCAAGGACCACTTTTCTGATATATCTGTGAACAGCTGGGATTGCGCGGATATCAATTAGCACACATACGATAGGTGCTAGGAAGGAAGGTGAAAGAATTTCACGAGGATCGCTTTTATTACCTTTAAACAGCTGGCAAATTCCATTCCACCGTAAACCCAGAAAGGCCTTACATTGCCCTGGCCAACAATAGCTGTACTCCTCCAGAACAATTTTAGTTCCATGGCAGACCTTTTGGACACGTCAAGCACTGTAGTCAACAACCTTTTATATGATCTCTGATAATTAAGACCAAATTATTTATTGGTAAGTCTGCTCGTTCAAAGTCATCATTGCTATTACAAAACCTATTTTCTGGTTCTGAGATAGCTAGATTTAGATCGAATTTTTATAATATTGTTATTTCTTTTTTAAATTAACTTTTCTAGTGCTGCGTGAGAACGTTAACTGTGCTCAAATTCAATGGAGGTTAATTATTAATCAAGTCTTGAAAATGTTTCCTGAATGCCGAAAGAAGATTTCCTCGCTGGAAATTGTCATCCAGCCTTCGGACATTGGGTTAATATTCAGAAAGAAGAGTAATGGGAACTAATGAGCTGGAAACTGGAAATTAAAATAGACTTACACATAATTTAAGGTTGTGGAGTTGAATATCCATTCTAACATATTTTGTAAAACTCAGAAGTGGCAAGAAAGGTGTTCTGTTAAGTAACAAATCAAATTCCCACGAGTACTCATTAGAGCAGAATGAAACTTTAAGCATGAAAGAAGTTCTTAAGATTAAATCATTATTTTCTGAATATTTAACAAACTTAGATTTCGTGTACTTATACTTATTAAACACCTTTTTACGTATGTAACACTCGTATGTTTTACCCCTTAAAAATGTATTAACTGGCAACTAAAATCATCATCAGATCAAACCCATCTTGTCAAATGAAATTTCAAAGAAAGAAGAAATACAACATAATCAAAGCCTAATCTTCAAAGTTGTATTCTTCTCCCTACCATTTCAGCATCGATCTTTGTCGAGCTTCCATTCCGAGCATTTATCATCGATTCCCAAGCTTTGAGATACATTCCAATCTGCACGTCTTCTTTAGTTTTCTTCGAAATCTTTGTCTTCTGTCGGATTGATAGTGTCGAACATAAAGTTGACATTGGGGCCAGCTTAAAAGCCACAGATCGATATGCAAATTGATCGACAGCCAAGAGCACAAATTGCCAAAACAAAGCGAGAAGAAAGACGGGAAATGGGCGTAGAAATAGAAACAGAAATAGAAACAGAAACAGAAGACCAAGCTTTGTGGCTCTCTGGCGAAGACAACGAAATTCGTTTGGCACTTTACTTGCGCATCATTAGCGTTCTTCTCTCTTTTTTTGCTTTCGTTTAACACATATTGGTTAGAAAGCTCGGCCAAAAAGTGGGAAATGGTTGGTGGAGTGGAGTGCAAGGGGGCGGGATTATTTTATGGTTTATCTCTTGTAAGCTGAACATATTTTATGAGCGCGACATAAAAAAAAACAACAGCGTTTTGGGTCAAAGTTTGTAAGTTATCCGCCATTTGGGCTGCCCCAAATAGCACTGGGAAAAATGTTAAAAAATATTAAAAATTAATAAAAAATAGTTAGAGGTAATAAGTTTTTAAATATAATTTATTTGAGGTTTTGTTTAAATCTTTTTTCAAAAATAACCCCTAAAACAACATTAATCTGTTAAATATTTTAAAAAATAACTAAATAAATTCCAAATAAATAATACACAGCTTATCCATTAACCAAAAAGTGTTTAAAATTAATCCAAATCCTAACTTAAGTTAACCCTTTCTCTCACTGCATCGAGAAAGCGTGTCCCCAGATCGACTCCCTCTGAAGTTTATGACTGCACTAAAATTAACCTATTCGATCCGAGATGAGGCCTGAATGCGCCGCCTTGTCTTTCGGTTATTTTTATTATCGATTTCGATGCGCGGCGTTCGGTTTGCTCAGCTGCCAAAGTAAACTATAAACTATAAGCTATAAACTGTAAACTGTAAACAACGGCCATGACAAGTCGGAAATTCGACGGCTACCGTTTGCTGGCTTCTATGTCAAGATCAGTGGAGTGCCCGAGTACCGAATTCCAAATACCGAAAACTAAAAACTGAAAACTAAAAAACCGACAACCCAAAGCCGAATTCCCAGCCGAAAGAAATCGAAATCGAAGTCAAAAAGTCGTTACAAGCTTTTTTGTACTTTCACTTGTGCAAACACGCGGCCAAGAACGCCGGAGATGTTGAGAGCTAACGGAGAGCAGGGTCATCAGCATCAGTTACACTGAGCGAAAATGTGTGGCAGGTATAGATATGAAAACTATATAAAATGATCAAATGGTAAATAAATTCATTTCATTACCGCAAAAACAAAAACCTAAGCGTACGTTCATCGTAAAGTTAGAAACATTTTTAAGTAGCTTAACTTCTTAACTTATTCTTATTAATTTAAACCCTTTTTAGATTTAGTTTGTTAAATATTTACATAATATTAAAGGTGGTTCTTAAGGTCAAAAAAGGTTTGTTAGATGACCAAGCAAAAACCTCTAAAGCTCTCCTAACATTTCTCTCTGTGTACTTCTGCATCACGATCATCAGCGGAATGATGATCATCGTGTTTACGGGTCTGTTGGAGTTACAAGCGAGTCGGGTTCTTCAGTAGCCAGCCACGGGGCAAGCTAAGCGGTCCAGAAGTGCGTCTCTTCCGTGTTCAGTTACCAGATCACTCCCCATTTCTTAATCTTAAGGGGCCATTCTTTTATTTTTTTTTTGTGGAGGTGCTCAGTGTGGTGTTCTCTGTGTAGTTTTCGGTAGTGCATGACCCAAAGACCGCATGACCGGTCACGTGACCCACCTGCTGCTCCTTGGCTGCCTGCTCTGCCTGCTCGGCGATGTTGCGAGAATCGAGGCTCTCCACCGCTGGAGTCCCATGATGAAGGCCTTTCGGTATCTCCAGGAGACGATGCTTCGTAATAGTCTGGAGCGGGCTCATCTTAATCATGGCATCGTCTTCGAGTGCCGAACTATGTGAGTGGTTACAAATGTTGCTCAGTTATTGTGATTTTACATGATTCTTTGATTTAATTTGTAGTAAAATATATTTTTAAAGTTTTCCTTTGATGTAAAAGTGATTATGATGATGATAAGAGGCTTTCCTTATCATCGCGACTATAATAAAGTTTCAATTCTCTTCCAGATCAGCTAAGGATTTCGGGAACGAAGTGCATTTCAATCTGCAACTGGGAGATCTCCGAGGATTTCGTCGGTTGGATCCCAACAAAAAGTTGGCCCTCTTCTTGCACGGATGGAATGACCAAGGCAGCAAGGACTGGGTTCAAGAACTGTTGCTAAGTAAGGGATTAAATATTTATTTTCTTAACTCAATGAAATGTTACAAGATGTAAAAGTTGAAATAACTTAAAAGATCAACCAACTAAAACTTATTTTTTATCCCCAGCCTGGACCCTTTTCGACTCCAATTACAATGTTTGCGTGGTGGACTGGGGAAATCTCTCGCAGAATGACTACAAGTCCGCCTCCATGTCTATCTTCGATGTGGGTCTGACGGTGGCTGGGATAATTATGGCCTTGGAGGAACTGCGACCCAATCACTTCCATCGGAGCAACGTGACCTTGGCTGGATATAGTTTGGGAGCTCATGCCGCTGGATATGCGGGGGCAGTGTTGGAGAGTCAGGTGGAGCAGATCATTGGATTGGATCCCGCTGGACCTCTCTTCTCGCTGCCCGCCGAGGTGTCGCCCAAGTACCGCTTGGATCCCGGCGATGCCCAGTTCGTTCAGGTGCTACACACCTCCGGAGGTTCCTTGGGGACCAGTCTGAAATGCGGACACGCTGATTTCTATCCAAATGGAGGAAGGGCCCCGCAGACGAACTGCAAGATGTTTGCCAATCTGCGCGATATGCAGAACACCAGTGAGTAATCATTACCAAATCTCCAAGTTATTTCAGCTTAGAAAGAAATCTTTGTGTGTGGAATATTTTTTTAATAGGTGATAATCGATTCGAATATACGAATTTAGGTATTGCTATAATAACGTTGCTGCGTTAGTTTTTATACTTCAGTTTTACTTTTTGTAAACTCAAGAAGACGAGCAGATTGGAATAGCTCTTAAAGTTTCGTAATTGATGAAAACATTGTTTTAAGATTAATGACAAAATGTTTAAGACAAGAAAAGAATATTAAAGATTAGGTTTTGGGAGATGTATTTGCAATTTTATTTAAAATATTGAGAAGATTGTTAGATGTTTTGATTACATTTTCATAATTAATAAATATATTTTTAGTATGGAGAGAATTTTGTTGTTACGTTAGAGGCCTTAGTTACATAGCTAGTTAAGGAATGAATATTCTTAAAAACTATTTAAAATATGACATGATGTACTATGATAAGATTTTTTATTAATAATTCTTTATCTTTCTGTAGATCCCATCGCCTGCAGTCACTCGGCGGCAGCTATTTTCTTCCGGCAATCAATGGATCCCGAGTATCCGTTCGTGGGCTACGAGTGCGGGAGCTACCGGGAATTCTCCGCCGGATATTGCGATGGGAACCGGAAGGCGCGCTTCGGGATCCATTCGCAGAGGCGGGCGCAGGGGAGCTTCTACTTCCGCACCGCCTCCCAACAACCGTACGTGCAGCGCCGTCAGACGAACTGGCTGAGTGGGGTGGGGCGCATGGTGTCGAGTGGTAGGGGGACCAAGGTCGACCAGGGAAGCCCCCTCGTACTACGCCTCTGGACAAATAGCTGGCGACGGCGGCAAAGAGCGAGAAAGCGACAGCGGAGGGAGAGAGATCGCTGCGCGTGAATTAGTTCCTAGACTTTTGTTAGTGTTATGAGGGCCGTCAAATAAACGCAGCCTAAATGTATGCTCTCTTTTTTCACAGCAAAGGGCAGCCCAAGGGTTAATAATCTTAAGTTTTACGTTGCTGAAGAATTTGTTGATGTTTGAAGGAACAAATTTACCAACAAAGAGGAAGTTCTGAAAATTTAAAACTAAGATGTATGCATCTTTTCGAATATTCCCTCATGATATAGTTATGAGCTGGAAATAATGAGAATATTTCATAAAAGTTTTCCTCATTCGGATAGAAAGAAATTCTTTAATCGTTTTTAATTCCTATATAGACATTATCATATACCCGTAAGTTCGGCGAAAGAATATCAAGTTTCTTCGTTAGCCACCCAGCTAGCAGTAAATATTTCCGTTCAATTTGGCAGCCAGCTGGTTTTAGCCATGTTCTTGCTAACTGCACAAAATAAAAACAAGAAAAGCAAACACACATGGAAGAGTCGTTGACTTGCAGCCACAAAACGGCGAAAAGTCGGCTGCATTTAACAGTTAATCGTAAAGGAAAAATGCGAAAAAAGGACGAACGAGAACGAGCAGCAGAAAACAATAAACTGAAATTCAATTTTCGCATTGTAAAACATAATTTTCTACAAAACTTGACGTCAGCTTGGCCCGCTTTTTGCTAAAAGGTAGTTAATATTTTTGCAGTCCATTGCGGCCGTGTCCCGCTTCCTCTCTTTAGCCACCGCCTCTCTTGGTACACTAAAAATAAACATTTACTGAAATTTTAGAAGCCATTTTTTCTTGCCAAGAAGGGATTTGCTCTGGCTTAAAACATTATTATCATAAAATTAAATTAAATAACAAATTTATATTTTTAAAGGCGTTTTTAAACCTTGAATTAAATGTAAGTTTTCTTTAAGTGTACCTATCCCGTTGTACATTCCACTCGAGTTGTTCTTGCTTTTTCCCGTTGCTCCTTGCCACCGTAGTTGTTGTTGTTCTTGTTGTTGTTATTTTTGTTGTTGCTCCGCCTGCTGCTTCCTGTTTTGTAGCTGTTTTTGAAATTTATGGCGCCGTCGTCGCCTCTGCCAGCTTCGCTGCCGCCGTCGACTTCTTCGCATGAGTTATGCGCTTTTTATTTCCAGCTCCTGGCCACGTTAAGTGTTAAATTGTTTTATGCATGCACGTGTGTGCGAGCGAGAAAGTGGAGGGGGGCATAAGGGAGTGAGAAAAAGAGCGCAAGTTCGGACTTGCCATTTAATTATGAAAGTTGATTTCAAGGAGCAGCAAGGGAGTGAGAGAGAGAAGGACAAAGGAATGTTTGTGGTCTTTGGTCAAGTGTTAGACCAAGACAGCACTATCAGCAGACTAACGGGGAATGCTAGCTGTGAAAGGAGCAGCAGACAATACTGTTATCTCTAAGGGGTCTATGCAGTAAATTTTCTCACCTTTTTAAAATAGTTCAGTTGATTGAAGATGTTTTTTAAGATTTTGCAAGAAAGTAGACTTTAATATTGCGATTATTAGTTAATTAAATCACCAAGTTTTAGCATACTTTTTGTCATTTAGGAAAATGTGATTTCTGAATAAAAATAATTAAATAATATAATAATCAAACAGAATAATAATCAAATAATATATATATATATGGGTAAATAATATTAATATTCAGTAAGGAGAAATATAAATTTTCTGCTTATGTTATGTTATTTAAATTATAAATGTGATAATAAGCATAAATTAATATATTTCCTTTGTGATTTTCGAATTTAATAACTATTCCTATTAATATACGGCCTGCCATGTTTTTAATTTAATTTTGCCAACTTAATAATAAGTAAGCTTAAACACCCCTTTATAATCCCTCCTCAAGCTTAGCGGTCCTGCAAAAGTGTTATGGAATTAACTTTGTTTATATAATCTTTAAAGTGCGGAGAGCATTTGCACTCGGGTTTCCCACTTTTTCTCCTATATGTGAGTAATTTTATTTGTTTTTATTGTGCTTAATTTCTGGGCAAGCAAACAAAGGTGAAAAAAGTGGAAAAGGAGCGCTTTTTTGTGCTCCGCTGACTCGAACCGCCAAAGTGGCAAGCGTTAATGCGAAAATCACTTACACACACACTCACACACACACACACACAGTTACCAAGGTGTAGGGGAGAGGGAAGATGGAAGTCCTGTAAAATCTAAAGCAAATTAACGTTTTAAACACCTCAAAAGTTTCGTGTATTCGCGTGGTCCTTAACTCTATGGCCCTCTCTTTCCCCCAACGCTCTTCCCTCTCTGTTTTTTTTTGTCTCGTGCCTCTCATTCTTTCGTTCCTATCCTGCTCTCTCTCTCTCTATTCATTGCACCTGACGTCCTTGCTGATCCTGGCGCAAAGTTAAGTGTTTCTTTAGCTTAATAACGGAAACATTTTAGTTGCTGTTATGGAAAGGAGCTGGAGAGAGAAGAAAGGAGACGGTAGAAGAGAAGAGAGGAGAGGAGAGAGAGAGGGCAGCAGGCAACTTGAGCGATAGACGCTTACACATAAACACATTCAAATGCTTCCGGCAATGTGTAATAGCTGTACAAGGACGAGCTGCTCCTGCTCCTGTGGAAAATAAAAAATAGAATCCAGAGAAGTGAAAAGGAGGTGGAAGCGAGGAAAGAAAGGAATGCCCTCCAGTGGCTGTAAATAACTCGCAGCAGGTGCCGTCCTCATCCAACGGTTAACGTCCGACGTCCAACCTGCAACGTCCAACTCCCCAATTCCTGAAGACATCGTCAATGGGAAAAACCTGCGAAGCACCAGGGCAAAGGGCCAAAGAGGAGGCAGGAAGACAGGAAGGACCAGCCGAAGAATTGCACACCTCGAAAAATAACATCAGATATCAGTTTACAAGGGCTTCTCAATCGAACTTCTCCTTTAAAATACTTTTGTTAATATTATAAATAATAATAGTTTAGTTTTTATGTTTAAAAAGCTTTTTTTAAGACATCATATTAGTTTTTGTAGTAGATTTTGTAAAGAAACTTGGAAGTTCCTATCCAGTTTTCCATGAACTAAAATTATTTCAAATTTGTTTCAAGTGTGCCAAAAGAACATCGGCTGGCGGCAACGTTTTCTTTTGATTACACGCCGTGTGCTCCTACTTTTGTTCTTTGGCCACCCACAAGCCACCCTCTGGAAAAACCACCTCATTTTCCACCCACCATTTCCAACAGAGGGTCCCCGCATAAGTGCAAATGAGCATGAAAGATGAAATATTAAGAGTCGTCTTGGACTTTGGTTTCTTTTTTATTTTGGTTTTTCGGTCTGTGACTCCTTGGGGCTTCCACCAACCCCCCACTCCCACTTCCACTTCTTCTTTGGCCGCTCCACTCATTTGGCCAAATGCAATTTTCGCTAAGAGCGCATATCCGCCAAAACAGACAGGGACTGCAAAAAAGTCGGCCAGCAGAAGCCAGGAAAAAACTTGGTCAAGTCAGCAAGTCGGCCAGCTGAAAGTGCACGGTGAGAAAGTTAAATATTTTTTAACGAATTTTTAGGGAGTCAAATTAATGTTAAACAAATATGTAATAGGATTCTGATTATTTAAGAAATTACTTAAAAATATGTGGAATCATAGATTTTAAACGATGTTAAGCTTATAAAACAAAATCGTACAAATAAAAATGAAGATCATTTTTTATTTGAGTATTAAAATTTATTTAATTTTTTAGATGTTTGCCTACTTTACCAATTCTAAAAATTATTTAAGCCTATGTACTAACTATTATGATTTTTTATATCATTTTCAATACAAAACTCCATAAAAAATTCAACAATTTAAATATTTAGACAACTTAAATTTATTTGCTTGCTTTTGACTCGCCTAAAAGCATGCTTCGATTTTGCTCGCTGCAGTTGATATGCGAATTTCCAGTGCAAGTTGACAGTGCAGTTTTCCCCCTCCCTCTAGTGCCAGCACCGCGGACTAGTATCGCTTCTTCTTTCTCGCTTTGTGCATTCCCCAGCTGACCATCAGCAACATTTCTGAGTGCAACCCTCGCTGTGCGGCATGCTGCAACATGGCCGCGATGCTTGACAAAAGTTATGGGCCACCCCTCGAGAGGGGTTTTCAGTTTTCCGAGGGGCATAAGGAGGTTCTGGGGGGACGGGAGTTTGGCATGGGGATCCAGTTCCAGAGACCGTAATTGCAGAAGGAGGCCGTCGTGTGTCTTGTTTGTCGCTGCTGCAAGAACTAGGCGCTGCAAAAGGATGCCAGGCTGCTTTAAATGCACAAAGAATGTCACTTGACAGTGCCGATCAAACGATCAAATAGGCGAAAGAAGGAAGGAAGAAAAATATCTGGAACTTATGGAAAATATATCTAAGTGGTGAAGCTAAGAAATTGTTTTTTTGTAGTTTTTAAAAATGCTTAAAAAAACTTCTTGAGTAGAATTCTTGGCCAATGCACCAATGGCCTAGCACAATTTTAAATGCAATTATTTTAGGTTTTTAAAGGTAAACTAAGAATACTTTTTGTTACTTTATAAATAAATTTATATGTTGTTTAGGTAATGGGAATTATAAGAAATATTTCATCTTCAAAATGATGTAGAATTCTTGCTCCCTTTATGGTTATTCAATTTGATTGAAATTTTTGTTTTTTAATATAAAATTTGTATTTAGTTTACTAGAAAATTGAAAATAGTTGCTTTTTCTGCTTCTTTCTGTTTTCCATTTCTTATAAACTTTTAATAGATCTTAAGTACAGTATGGCATCTTCGTACTCTCCCCAAATCGTTGCCTTTCTCATTAGGGACTCCTTTGTTGTGACACTAAAATATTGTGTTGCAACCTTTGCTGGATTATCATTTGCCTTTGCAGTTGCACTTTTGCGCTGACCATTTGCACACCTGACCCGCGTGGAAATGCGGCCTTTTCCCATCGCTTTTCCCAGGTCTTTTCCCCTGCACTTGAGGTGATTAAATTTCCGCGAGCGGCTGGACAAAGGGAAACTCGCCTGACCCTCCGCCGGCATTCAATTTCAAGCGCACACAATTTAGTTAATAACTTTTAAGCGGAGCGCATCATAAACCCTATTT